TTTTTTTTAAAATGCTAAACATAAAAGCCATGGGTCTGTGCTAAGTCTTCCATTCCCAGGCCAGAGCATAAGCTGCAAGCAAGCCAAGTGCCAGCGAGCATGCCTAGCAGAGCCTGTGGGCTCCCAGCACCTTCGCCTTTCTTCCTGTCCACAGGGTCCCTGTGTATCACGGTTTCTCTTGCGGTCTTCACCGGGTGGCTCCTGTGGCCAGTGGCTACAGTGTGGAGACAATATTAAGTGACACTGCTGTCTAGTCTGGGGTCCTTGGCAAGTCGTAGACACTCAGTGTCCTGAAGCTGTCTTGGTGCACTGGTGAGAGTCCTGGGCTGAGCAGCTTTGAAGCTGGGGTCTGGATGTTTCCAGAGGCACTGTGTGCAACCTTAGAGTTGGGAGTACTCTGCTGCCTTTACAGGAAAGCATGGGGTCTACCAGCTGTCTGCCTGCCTTCCTGCACAGGAAAGGGTGAAACATGCATTGAGTCACTCTTTTGGCTGCTTTTACCTAGATGTTATTATTATTATTATTATTATTATTTTTAACAAATAACGCTGATAGCTTAACTTTTCATGTTATGTTAAAATTTTCAGACTGTATGGCCTGATTTACTTCATCTCAACTCTGATCTAACTCTTGCCCGTATCATTTGTAGAGATTTCTGTGTTAACCTTCCAATGGCGCTGGGTGTTCTTGGTATTAGCAGAAATCATAGCTATGGCCTACATGCCTTTCCTTCCCGAGCCTGGCAAGGAACAACCAGACATCTGAAAGCCTGTGATTATGTCTTTTAATCTTTACATTCTCGACGGTGACCTGAAAAGTGCTTTGTACACGAAAGACACTGAATAAACTATTTGCAGGATTTATGAATACATATATCCGGTGATACTGTTTTCTCTTAAAATTGGAAAGCTAGAGATTTTTAAAAATCATGTAATTATTATGAAATCTTATTTAAATTTAAGTGATTGAGAGAAAGAGAGATATAGGGAGAGAGAAAGAGAGAGATGGATTTCTCATCTAGGTTCACTCCCCAGATATCTGCAACAGCCAGCACTGGGCCAAGCTGCAGCCAGGAGTCGGTAACTCGCTCCCCAGATTGGAAATAGAGTCAGCACTCAAACCCAGGCAACCCCAATATGACATGCAGGCACCCCAAGAATATTTAACTCTGTGCCATGCACTTAATGGCATTTTAGATATGGTCTTTGCTTGTTCTTTCCAACTTTTTCGGTTCTCCCACTTAAATTGGATAAAGGGAATCAAACTGGGCAGGGGAAACTTCTGGTTTTTCAGTCTATCTGCTGTGCACTGATCCTGCGCGAAAGAGCGCATGGAACTGCAAGACCCGTCACTGCAAGGCAATCCAAGCCCTGCTGTTTGATGACATTTAAGAACCTTGCTAGCTTAAAAAAAAAAATGTTTTCAAAATCAGTTGCTTATTCTAGGTGAGATACTAGGCAGATGGCTATTCCTGGCTCAGACAGCCCACAGGCACCTCTCAGCGCTTGTGTCCAGGACATGCCATGGACTGCACTGGAACAGCTCAGAAGAGAAGGAAGTACAGCGAGACGCATAGTAGGAACAATTTCCTGTGAGCATCTCTGACAGGTGGGAAGGGCTTCGGAAACATGATTGCGCTCCATGAACTGCATGTGTAAGAGCTTCTCAATTCTCAAAGCTCTGCTGCATATTGTCCACACAATGTGAAGATTCTAGAACAAAGTGCAAGTGGCTTCACTGCTCAGTGAGGAACCTGGGAACACAGGAAAAAGCCAACAAAGGCTTCTGCTTTAACTATGCCGCTCAAGCTGTGACTGCAATGCAACACTGTTGCCAGTCAGAGGGGCAACTGAAGACTGGCCCTGGGATTTATCAGCAGTGAGAATCATCTGAGACACTCTTCAGCTAGGTGGATTTCTGAAGCCTCATGGTGGTGGTGAGAAAGAAGAGCTACTTCAATTTGAATTTGAAAACACTTCTCTAGATTACTTCTGCCTGCTGTATTTAGTCAGCTCAAGTTCTAGAGTAATTGAAATAGCACTGCCACCTGGTGGCAACATATCCAAATTACAGGTTTTAATGTCTGGTAAGTGTGTTAGAAACTGCAGTTCAAATTTTTGTGTAACTATCCTATAACATTTAATTTTTAATTACCTCCGTCTGCTCCTACTATCAAACTCGGTTTTGAGTTTTCTGATTCACTGATTATGAGTTCACATAATCTGTACCTTTGAGGTACCATTGCCTCCTACTGTTTCAATTCTTTTTTTGTGTCTTAAAAGAACAAATTGAAGACACACTTTGTCTCTTTTTAAAAATTGACAGGCAATAAGATAGTGAGAAAGAGAGAGAGAGAACAAAAAGAGAGGCAGAGACACATGCATACTGACTTAGATCTCCCACAAACTCAGGTCCATTCTGAAAGGCTCTGTCATGCTGGAACAGGGCCAGGCAAAGCTAGGAGCCAAGAAGTCATGCCAGGTCTTTCACGTGGGTGGCAGAGCCCAAATTACTTGAATCATCACCCGCTTTGTCTCATGGTGTGTTATCAGGAAGCTGGAATAGGGTGGTCAAAGCTGAATCTGAACAGTGTAAGCAGTGCCTGCCTGCAAAACCAGATACCAGATAGACCCCAGTGCTTAGCACCTGTCACCCCGCCACCCCCTTTATTAGCTTAGAGCATCCTCATCATGCTTTTTGATAGCTTTAAAATTAACTCACTAAATTGAAGGAGTGGTACAACTGGTCCTACAAGGTTCAAAACACTGGACCCGGGAAGCCATTTTCTTTGCTGCTAGATAACATGTTTTTGACCGGAGTTTCATTTAGGGGAATTGCAGTCAGGGCAGCAGAGTTCCAGGTCCAGTGAACAAAGTAGCTATCACTTACCTGTAGATCCAAGACTAGCTGAAGTCCACTTGCCCATCGTAAACACTTCCTGAAGAGCGTGGCATTGCTGACCAATCAAAGGAAGATCATGAGCACTACTTAATGAGCTGGAATGTGGACATAAGATGAACTTGCACCTCCAGATCCAATCTCAGTCTTTACTCCTACACCACAGGGGGGGACAGGGAGATAAACAATAGCTTCCTGCTCCCTGCTCTGTGCCTTGCCAGGAAATACCTACGTTCTCCTGCTGCCCTGGTGTCAGTAGTTCATTTCCCAAGCACTGGAGAAGCAGCCCAGATTTGTAATTCCTTCAGCTAGTCTGTGGGAATTGTTCTGTAGCAGAGCTGGGCCAAGATCCCACTAACTCTGCTCTTGGATGTGAACACCTTAATTGCCAAGCTGATCAATGGATGCTTTGATTTTGTCACTGTAAACTCTGGTAGCAATCAACTTACGGAATAAAATAAACTGGAGTGGGGCCGGCATAGTGGGTAAAGGCATGGCTTATGACAGAGGCATCTCCTATGGGCACCAATTCATGTTCCGGCTGCTCCATTTGCAACCCAGCTCCTTGCTGGTGTCCCTGGGACAGCAACCGAGGACAGTTCAAGTCCTTGAGCCCCGGTACCTACATGGGAGACGAGATGAAGCTCCTGCTTCCTGCCTTCGACCTGCCCAAGTCCCGGCCATCGCCACCATCCGAGGAGTGGATCCCAGAGGGAGGTTCACTCTGCCTGTTTCTCCCTCTCAATCTGTGGCTGTGACTTTCAAATCAATAAATACATCTTAAGTAGAATAAAGAAGAGGTATGACAGAAAGTATGCGTTCTGTCTCTTGGACTCAGTTATTTTGCGTAATCAAGAATAAGAAAAGGGAATATGTATCCACGTAGCTTATTTTTCTATTTTTATTTTCAGGAACTCTAGATTCTTTTATATATATATTTTTAAAAAACCTTCAACACTTGCTTTAGAATAGATAGTTTCACTGAGCTCAAGTTCTCCATTTACCTTTGGTATGAAGAACTGTTGGCCATCTAGGAGCAGAAGGAGTTGCTGTGATCTCAAGTGTGACTTGTATTTCGTAATGGATTGCGGTACTCAGGCCAGTTTTACTAGGAGTCAATGAGAACTAGGCGTAGTGTAACACGGCTTTGAAATCGGGCAGCGTTCCATTTTGCACCAGTATGGCAACTCCACAACAACACAATTGAGCAACGTTCAAGATGATTTACAACTAAAGACTGCGTGTCTATGAGAAAAATAAATGCATGTTAACAAGGGGAACGCACATAAATGAAACAGATCAAAATTACTAGTCCACTACTCAGAGCTATCCTATTATTTCATTCAGATATTCTATGAATAGGCTTGCTAGGATGTTTTTGTTGAACAATATTTTTTAAATAAAAAACTTACTGAGATAAAATTTACATAATATAAAAAATACATTTTGTGGTGAAAGATTCAGTACTATTTATTACATTCACTTGTGCTAACTATGTACCCTAACATTGATTGAGTTACCAAAAAATTTTACAGAAGGAAATTCCGAGCCTATTAATCTACTGGGATATCATTGTTTTTGAACAGTACGCAAAGAGAATTTCATGAGGTTCTTCAGTTTAATCTTTCAACTTCTTCTCTAAGTATTAGAAGCGTTCCAATATCTGGTGCTGTGTTGACTTGAGCGCTTACACCCTGGCCAAAGCTATTTTTAATCCAGCCATGTCAGTTGGCAGGAATTTATAATCAAGTGACCTAAGAGTTTCACATGATGTAGTCAGAACAGTTGTTAAACCATGGGGCATTGATGAAAAGAATTCAGTGCATTTCAGTGATGGTCTGTGGCTTTGAAGACAGGATACATTCCTTTGCAAGCAGAAAAGCCAACAAAAGCATGGGCAATGAGTCTGTGGGTTCCTTTGTATACACTTTATTACAAAATAATGGGACTCCTTATGCAAATTAGTTGAGACGACGTCTGGACAAGCGCTCCAGGCCCACCAGCTTGCAGTATAAAAAGCCCTGTGCTGGGGCAGACCTTCATTCCCACCTGGGTAGCCTATTCCTCACTATCCATCCACGTCCCTCTCGCCACCCTACACCATGACTCGTTACTTCTGTTGTGGAAGCTACTTCCCAGGCTATCCTTGCTACGGAACCAACTTCCACGGAACCTACAGAGCCACTCCCCTGAACTGCGTGGTGCCTCTGGGCTCTCCCCTGCAGCATGGCTGCTACAGCTCCATGGCCTACGGCCCCTGTGGGAACAACTTCACCAACAACATGTGCTACGGCCGCAGCTTTGTCCGGCCATGGGGCCATAACTCCGGCTTCGGCTACAGTACCTACTGATGGACTGACCAACAGCTCTGCCAACTATAGGACTCTTGACCCATTCTCTGTGCACAGAACAACCTGAAGAGCAGTGAGCATCTTTCTAATTCCAGATGTTCTTTGAAGACACTGATTTCGCACTGTGGCCTTGCTGTTTGCCGCTGATAAACTATTTACTTGGGACTCAAATGCTCTGCTGACGATATTCATTCATCTGAAGCAAAGGAAGCAAGACGCATTTTTCCAATCCCTGAATTTTAGCGATGAAATGAGTTAGTTGATTCCCGAGTGGCTGTGTACCTGTGTTAACTTGTACAGTAACCTCTCTGTGTTACAAACTTGGCATGGGTGGGGTGGGGTTTTTCTGTTAGTCTCTTAATAAATGTCTCATTCAGCATGCACATCTTGTTCTGCTTATTTATTTTACTTTGCTGTCATGTTCTTGAATTCATCAACTACTTCAACCTGTAGTGGTTGACTTAACCCAAATTTTATTCTGATTTCAGATTCTACAATCCAGATAAAATAATACCTAATCCAGTTTCTTTTCATACAGTGAGATTCCAGTTTTAAAACTTCATCCAAATATGCTGAAATTGTTAATATTTTTATCCTGGTTATAAATAGGAGGGCTTTTTTTTTAGCTACATAAGGCTAAAAAATATTTTTCCCTTTTTCCACTAGAAACACAATTTCACAATCTTCATTCATTTCTTCTTTACTACTGTTTATGGGACTCAGGTCTGATAGAATTTGAGCCTCACAGATTGTTGGAAAAGTGGTAACTCCACGGGCTTAGCTACTCCTTTTCAAAACATGAGTTTTATTTTCTGAAACTTCTTCATTTCTAGTTATAAATATAAATATAACTAGCTTTAAAATGAGACATTTAGTCTTTGGAGTGATAGTTGCTATTAAAAGCAGTTGAAATGATACGTGATCTGCACCCAGAAAACGTTCCTTGTCTTGCTTACTGAGAAATTTCTCTTTTACTGAAGCAAAATATGCCATGTTTGAATTAAAGCACCTTTATTCACATGCCAAGTAGTTATGGCACTTCTGATTTTGAGGCCCGGCTTCCTCCTGGGTGCTGGCTGCTGTGTGAAGGGTGTTGAGACTGTGAAACACCAAGCACAGAGCTGCCTTCACGAGGAAACTCGTTCACTCAACAGGTGCCTGCAGCACATCTCCAACACGAAGCATCGTCTTACAATCAGGGCACATGGGGATACGCAAAACATAGATACTGGCCCTCAAGTATTTAAAAGGAATTTAATAATTTCATATTTTGTATCCATTGTTTTGCCAATTTATAATCCAAAAATGGAATATTCTTTCATCATTTCTCTCTCAGGACATAAAACAGGTCCATATATGTGTTCAGTTCCTTCTTTCTACATCCTTCTCTCTTCCTCTTTTCCCCCTTTCCCTTCACTCTCTCCTTCTCTTTCTTTTTTCTTTCTCAATCCTCCCCCTCCTCCTGATTTGTCATCTCTCTATCACCTGCACCCCTACATACTATGTAGAAAAGTGGAATTAAAAGATGAATTGGTGTAGGCAGGTAACTGCATCCCTCGTTGGGTTGATACCTGGCCCTGGTTCCTGACTCCAGCTTTCTGGTAATTCAGACTCTGGCAGACAGCAGTGTGGGTTCAAGTAACTGGGGCCCTGACACATGTGTGGGAGACTTACATACAGTGTATAGCCTTCGACCACAGCCTGGGCAGATCTGGTCATCATGGGCATTTGAGGAGTGGCTCAGTAGTCGAAGACTGAGTTCTCTAAATGTCTGTTTCTTCAGTAATAAAACAAAATTAGTGTGCATTTTTCCATAATACACATTTTCCTTAATAAACAAGTTACTTCTTGGACACTCATTATATAATTGTAAATATGCCGCTTCCCCTCTCCTACCTCCGTGCCGCCTATATTTGGGGTTTGTAGGCTTACATAGAAGAGAAACTTGGGTACACAAATATGACCATGAGAGAGATTAAGAGCTCTGTACCAAGAACTGTGCAGAGAAGAGATGCATGTGGTCATTTGTTGATGCCATAGGCTGTTGCCAGTGACATTCCACTGCAGAGATACGAGGACCTGCTGGTGGGGAGACTTGATTGGGTGTGTAGAATGGAGTGGGCCTTCTTGTTGGGACTGCTACCAACCAGAAGGCTCTAGATTTCATCATTATAGGTAAAAATAATCTTTTGCTTGAAGGACATTTTTCCCCTCATTTTGTCAATTATACATTTGTTTGACAATTTAACAATTAGAGAAGAACTACCTTCCAGTGCAAAAAAAAATACCTTTATTACTAAATTTCTTAAGTGATACCATTTTGTCCCATTTAGTTTATCATCATGCATAAATGTACGATCTCATATTTATTAATATATATGTGGCCCTTTATTTGCATATATTATTTATCTGTTGGTTAATCAACATAATCACTTATCTATCTCCATTTCACAATGCATTATTGGTATTCTGCCATGTATCCTGAGAACAAGGACAACATAATTATGGAAATAAAAGAATTTGATATTGATGTTATTATCTATGCCACAGTTCATTCTCAAGTTTAGACAGTCTTCTCAATCATGTCCCTGTTTGCTGTTATTCTTATTTTTGGACTGGTCAGGGCGCAGTCCATTATGTGTAAGTGTCTTTTAATGTGAAGCAGTTCCCTAGCTTCTCTCTGCCTTTCTTGATTTCTGAAATATTGAAAGTGCTGCCTGTTCTGTAGAATGTCCCTCGATTTGAGTTTGCCCAACTTTATATGATTGATTCCTAAGGGATGCTGCTGTATCCTTCTTGTACAATCACATCAGCCAACACTTGCTGTTGCTTTGGACAAACTTAGTTGATACAAACTTTGATCACTTGAGTCCTTTCAATTTATTCTCTCTAATTTTTTTCCTCTGTAGAATTAGTAATCTCTCTCTCTGTGTATAGATGCTTTAGTACTGCATAAATACCTTATATATATATTTAAAGATTTACTTATTTTTATTACAAAGTCAGATATACAGAGAGGAGGAGACATAGAGAAGAACATCTTCTGTCCGATGATTCACTCCCCAAGTGAGCACAATGGCCGGTGCTGTGCCAATCTGGAGCCAGGAGCCAGGAACTTCCTCCAGGTCTCCCACATGGTTGCAGGATCCCAAAGTGTTGGGCCGTCCTCGACTTTTTAATTTTTGTTCTGCACATATTAGTTGACCTTTTGCTATAGAAAGAAGGTTCGCCTCCCCTCAGTTATATTTTGTCTGTTCTTTTATTTTTAATCCTTTCTATATTAGTTGAGCTTGCTGGCTTTTTAATGCAGCAGTGTTAGTATTCAATATTGGAATGATCTCCTATTTGGAGAGTGGGAACACCAACCTGATGGCTTCTGTGTTTTCTGCTCATGGTCTTCACCACTGTGTGCACACTGCTCTACTTTCTGGCTGAGTCAGACACCAGGCTCATCTTGGACTTCTCTAACCCAGACATGGATCCAGTGGTTTCTTCCCGGTGTCTTAGAGTCCAGAGAAGACTGGAATCTAGAAACTAAGACACGGTGTTAACTGCTCCCTGCTGTGTTATCTTCGCTGTTGTCAGGGCCACAAATGCTCACCAGTATCCACACGTCTGTGGGGCCAGTGACTGGATGATGCTCATTGTCCCTCCAGGTTTAAGTATGACTCACTCAGAAAGCTGCATGGGCTACAGGGGCAAACGGCAGTAAATAACTCACTTTATGAGAGGAGATCTTCAGGCTGGAGGGGGCTGTCTCCAAACGCCAGTGTCAAAGTTCACCCCCGACCCTTGCATCTCCTACCCATTCTTCAACCTGACTTTGTAAACCGCCTTGACTCTATTTCAGCCCTAATACCAGCTTTGTTCCACCCCTCCCCGCCCCCAGCGCTGGGAGCACAGTTCATTTTCTTTGCTTACAGCTCCTTCTGCAGTTCCTGCTGTAACTTCTTTTGTACTTTCCTTCCATCTCACTTCCATCACCTGGAGATTTAGTTCATCTCTTCTGGATGGCTGTGTCGCCTCAATTCTGTCATTGTTGGCTTTTGCCATTCTCACTGCTTTACTAGAGTTTAATGTGTTCTTGGAGAAGTGGTGATTGTTGGAAATTGACGTATTTTATGTCAATTTGCCACCCTGAACATAAAAAGATATGAATTCCTGAAGAACTGAGTTTTAAAAGGTGCTGAATCCAACTGCCTTCTCTTCTCTCTCAGTGATTATGCGACAACTACAACAATTGATACTTTTATTATTCACATAACTATGCTTAGAAGTAGAGTTCATTATCCATCATATTACAATGAAGAAAGCAAAACTGAAAAACTAAATAATTTTTAAGGTTGTCTGTTCCTGCACTCTCAAACTATATAGTATATCACCTTGGCGGCCAGAGAGCATTTCTCCAGAAAGGCTCCTGCCCAATACCACTTCTTAAGCCGTTTATAATTATAGCCTGCATGTGCACAGTGATTCACAGCTTATAAAATAAACCTATAGAATTATATTTAATTCTGACAACTATCTTGGGAGATTGGTATCATAAGGAAATTGATGGAGATTAAGTAATTTGTCCAAGGGGCAAATATTCACCAGGTGAGAAGATGGAGAGCGAGCCAACATATCTACTGAAATCTTCTGACTCCTTTGTGTCCAATGTGCCCCACTAATAACAGAGGCAGAAAATGAATTATGTGCTTGTCAATTTGATCTTATCTGAGGTTTTAAGATAGTATAGTCACAAGCTTGCCAAAATCTTTTAGTGGTGATTAGGCTCCATTTTCTTATCCTGAGACCAAGTGTTTCCACCTCACATGTAATCCAATTTGCCAGGAAGTTTTTAATTCATTTCCCATAGAGCAGAAATAATACTGTCTAAAATGCCACGAGGTTTTAAGGCATGAATTAATTGAAGATGTTTTGGGGAGGGTTTTTTTTTTGCCTTTCAGGAAAAAAGAGATGGCTCATAAATTCATCAAAGACTCTAACCTCAGTTCTTC